TCATTTTTTCTGTGAGCAACATACTTCATTCAGCCAATAAAGGACATACCTAAATATTGTAAAGTTATGAAATTTTTAGGGGCTATTGATAATAGTGTCGCGGAAGCAGAATATCAGTTAACCAAAATAACGTTAGCTGAATGGACAAACAAAACAGAAACTAAAGCGTTTTGGAGTGAAGTGAGACAATTTAAAGATGCCTCATCAAACAGTCCATTCTGTAAGCTCTTTAAAGTGCCATGTCTGCCATAATACTACCCCATTCAAATGCTGACGTAGAAAGAGTTTTCAGTGCTAGGAATTATATCAAATCTAACCTAAAAAACAGGATGAAATTTGACCTCTTAAATGCTAATCATCAAAATTCGGCCTGATGAGACTAGAGAAATAAGCCTACTGTTCCACTTATAAAGAAATTTGAACAGCTAAAGCATACCAGGGTCATTTTGGACCTGAAGCTTCAACTTCATTATCCAAGCTAAGTTTATCCTGTGGATCTTATGAGGCAGACATCAGTGAAGGTGAGGACATGATTATGTAGGGTAAGTCATAACAAAAGCTATGTAATTTTTGATTTTTTCAATTTGAATGTTTTTTCTAGATCTTTTCCACGCAGATTTAGATCTTTTTAGATATTTTTTGACACCGTTTTGGATATTTTTTGTCAAAGAAAAGTGGCAACACTGGCAGTTAGTTAGTTAGTTAGTTATTCCTCTTGTGCCAAAGATGGCGCATAGGGCAGAGGTCATAGCTTTCCACGTCTGTCGGTTCTTTGCCACTTGATGTAGGTCTTGAGTGCGACTGAGACCTATGGTTGAGCTCTCCCTTGTGATGGTTCTACGGAGGGTTTCTTTTGGTCTTCCCTGTTTTCTTTTACCCTCTGGTGACCATATGAAGGCTTGGTGGGGAAGTCTCTGTATGTCCATTCTGAGTACGTGACCGATGTAATTCCAGCGACGCATTCTAATAAAATCAGACACATATTTTTGTTTTGTTTCCTGTCTTATAGATGTATTGGACCTAAAGTCCGACCAGTAAACATTCAATAGCTTTCGGAGGCATCTATTCTCGAAGCAGGGTTTTTCAAAAAAATCAAATTGGCAGCCCTGTAGCCTAGCAGACGCAGGCCAGAGACTAAAAGAACTAGAGGAAAGTGACGGTCCGTGGCTGGCAGGGACTTTTACGATTGTACATGTCGTTGTTTGTAGATTGTAAATCGAGAATCGTACGATTGTAACGATGAACGCTACACAGACTGTTGGAATCAGAGTTCCCGTTGGCCACATTTACGTTAATTCACGGTGGAAAGGCAGTAAGCTGGTTTCGGATTTGCAAGGTACTGTGTAAATTAATGTAAATAAATAAAGATTATTAATTTTCATGCATGAATTAATTAAATTAATCATAAAAATATTAATTAGTTTATGAATTATTCAACACCAGCTTGACACTTCTTCACAGCCATTACTTGTTTGTTCTGTGATTTGTTACAAATTTTGTACAATACTTTTTTTTTTCAACCTGAATGGATTCCGGGACCATGTTAAGTTATAGGTTATAGGGAAAACAAAGGATAGACACACTGCCTACCCAAAAGCATGTCGTATGGGTCGACTAGTTTGGAGCTTCCTTTGAAGTCGGAGAGGCAAGGAACCAGCAGTCTGCATACAAATGAGGCAGATCTGTAAAACGGATACATACGCAAAACTCAGGTTCTGGAACAGGACTGCAGTGCAGAAGTGGATGAACAACCAGAACTTTCCACCAGAGTTCGCACCTGGTGAACGCAAAGAAGAAGAGGAACTATCGACTTAACTTTATTACACTATTTCTACAGGGAGGTCGCATCCGAAAGTAAGGGTGGACTGTTGCCCAACCCACCTTCAAATGTTTTCTTTGTGTCCGCACCCAAGGTTTAATGTTAGGGCTCTCCTCCAAACTTCGACCCGATATTATGGCGGCCATAAAATATTCTTACGGGGCTCAGGCAAATGTAAAATGCAGACTTTCTGCCAAGGAACAAATCGCAGCAAAACTAGGATTACTTGACAATTTCAAGAGATGCAACATTACAGACGCTAGTAGCAGACAATAATAGCGACCGTTGACAATTTCGAGCATTTCTGCAGACGATAATAGCATGCGCAAAACGCGATTAAACTCACCGCCGAGCGCATTGATGGGGGGCTAAACTAGGTGCCTGGGACTCATGAGCAAATCAATTGGAGGAAGTTGCAGGAGATGCGGCAGCTGCTGCTGGTGAGTCCCAGCCATCTAGTTTGGCCCCTATCCGTGCGTAGCGGCGGGGGGGATACTCTCGGCGGTGAGGCATAGTCACAGAAACAGGTCCGCAAGTAACATATAGCTGAGACCCTGTTAGAGTATTTGTTTCGTTATACAGAGCCGGCAAATTTTTAATAAAACTGAGCCCCGTAAGGATATTTTATGGCCGCCATAATATCAGGTCGAAGTTTGGAGGAGAGCCAATGTTACCTTATCTGGGCTCTTAAAAAAAAGGCTATCCTCCGAATAACGGCCACATATTATGGCGGCCACAAAAACACTCTAACAGGGCCTCAGTCACATGTAAATTGTGGACTTCCGGCGACTTAAATTGTGCACTTCCGGCAACTACCACCACCGACGAGAGTATCTCCCATGCCAGTTTGCTGGGTAACAATGGAAAGACATATGACAAGGAAAGAAATGTGCTGCTTCATGTGACCTCATCATATGTCAGAGCTATTCAACTGGTGTCTCGCAGAGACCCACTAAGTGGCCCGTGGATCATTGTTGTATTAATGGTCTGTCTTTACTAGGGTACAGGCTTCTAGCCCGTGATGATCCATATTTTCACAAATTTGGCCCTGAGTAAATTCAGTTGAAAAGCCAAATCAAATGGCATGGCCTTGGGGGTGTGAATAATACTTCACATCCCAACAAAAGTTTTTTCTTTCTGCTACACATGATTTTATTAACTTTGATTTTGTTTTCTTCTTCTTAAAAATATTAGGTAATTAGTTGGGTTATTATCATTGCACTTCGGACAGTGTGCTCAGATCCTCCACTCAGTATGAACCCCAACGTCCGATGGCTAATAGTACCACTTCTATGTTGATTGACAAGTCTTCTTGTGTGTCTGATGTGCGTCTCGTTTTTTGCTTCGCCGAACTTAATTTCTAAGTCTGCCATTCTGGCGAGGGATGTGGATTCACTGTCCCCAAAGTCCTCTATGCTTCCCATTTCTCTGAGGGCATTATTTATATCAGCATGATCTATAGGCTGACCGTCGGTAGTTATAGCGGATCCAGCCAACCTGTCAGCTCTTTCATTTCCATCGACGCCTGCGTGTCCCGGAACCCAAAAAAAAAAGGTGACTCCATGCACAGTGTACTTCTGTAATGATTCAAGCCATTGTCTTCGCACTAAACCTGCCTGAACCCTTGGATCATACTCATTGAATCACTGAGTATACATACGCGGGTGTAGTTTTGTGTTTTGAGCCAGGCAAATGCTTGCGTCACTGCCATCACCTCCATCGTCATGCTGCTTCTTAAAAATAGACCTTGGCTACCAAGTCAACCAGGGCTTATATTGGTTAGTTAGTCTTTCCTCTTGAGCCTAGGGTGGCACATAGGGCATAGGTTATAGCTATCCATGTCTGGTGGTTCGTTGCTACCTGTTTTAGATCTTGAAGGCTCATTAGGTAAGCATCCCCTGATGATGGTTTTATGCAGTGAGGCCAAATATGGGCACTGGTTAATGTCCTGGGAAGTAAACAGTGCAGTTGCATATTCTTTACAAGACATTGCAGAACCAATCACAGCATTTTTTGGTAGTTGTGGTTTTTCTAGGCAAATTGGGCACTGGTTAATGTCCTGGGAAGTAAAAGTGCAGATTTAAAATAAAAAAAAAGAGTTAGTTGCATATTCCTTACAGATCATTGCAGAACCAATCACAGCATTTTTTTGGTAGTTGTGGTTTTTCTAGACAAATTTTACATTCAGTTAGTTTGCCATTGCTTTCTGAATGGTCAGCTCTCAGTACCACAGTGGAAACCAACACAAGACAAATCGTCTGCAGCTGGGATCAAACCCGGCACCCCGACATTGGGAAGCGCGTTTCAGCGCATAAGCCAGACCTGATAGGTGTAGAAACATATGAGTCTAACATCAAATGCCACTGGCCCAGAAGGATGGTTGACTTACTTTGTATGGGATCTGGGTTGACTCCAGATCCATACTGGCTAGAAAACAGGAATCCTTCCTCTGCTGAGAAGCGAACCCAGACCTCTGTCTAGGTGAGAAAGTGTACCAACCATTATGCAACTGTGGCTTTTTCTGAACCTAGAGAGAACCGCAACCCTTTATTTTGTATCTCTTTGAGGCAGATGTGGGGCCTCAGCTGGCCTGAACCTTTAGAATCATCAGCTGATTTGATTCAAGAACCGACATCACAGCACTCGGGGCATTCCCATAAGCCCTGCGTCCCCATCTTCAGCAGCCAGCAAAAAGTTCTGATACTAATGGTGCTAGTAGCATTCTGATTGAACGTCCATCTTGCCTTTCCTCTAATCCTCAAGCATCTGCCAGAACCTCTTGTCACTCCCCCTGTATCAGTCTCACCAGACTGTGGTGATCCATCTGCTCCTCAAATTGTACAGGCTCTTCCACAAGGCACTAACCACGTTTGCCTTATCATGCATCAATATTCTACCAAGTTGTGCAGAGCCAGCCAGTCTGTCAACCTGTTCATTTCCCATCAGCTTTAAAATGCAATCCTTTTTGCCATTGTAAGGGTTTAAAATTATCCTAGGTTCTTCATTCTTCAGTATGACTATTAAAAAGTATGGAATCACGACAGAGCTTTGAAAATAAGAGGGATTCTTACATATTAGCTAACTAGGAACCAGTGAATGAACTAACTGAAACAGCTGGAGCTGATCCTTTGACGTGAGTTGTACATATCAGGTTGTAACTCTTTGATATTTTAATTACTAGCTTCATTACCAGTTCATTTTGAGATATCAACAAGTGTTATAGACTTCCACCCTTCTTGCAACACCGGAGTTGTGTATATCGTAGAAGCAGATGTCATCGGGGGAACGTACAAGCGGAATGTGGCAAGGCTGAGAAAGGTCTGGAATGTGTAGTTTTTCACTTGGTCAGTCTGTAAAGAATTTCTTTTTACATCAGTGGTGCTTTGCACATATGATGCTAGGCTCATATGTTTATAAACCTTCTGGCATTTGGGGGTAATGTGGTTACCATCATGCTGGTCGCCTTTACTTCCAGGGACTTTACCTGGTACCCATTTAGGACTGCATCGACCTGGTAGGCAGTCTTGTTTTATTTTACATTTTGATTTTAAATCCAGCTCTCTTCAGATTTGAACCCACCATCTTCGGATATGCAGGCAAGGGTCTAACCGCTCCCTTATTTGTTTTAAAGTCTTTTCAGTGGGCTATGATGAGATCAGTCCTGGGAAGTTAAGGTGGCCCGCTCAGTGCTGACCACATCACCCATCAAGGGCCGATTGGTCTATAAAATATAGGTCTGACCCTATATGCCCAATACACTTCAAGGCATGGAAAAGGGTCCTTTATTTTCCTTTTTTTTCAAATGTTGAGATCAATGTTCTGCAAAGGTGTTGCTACGTAATGGGGATTTTGTGTGTGTGTGGATACCATTGGTGTTATTAAATCAACATGTTATATATTTATTTTGTGTCTGTGTGGATACCATTGGTGTTATTAAATCAACATGTTGTTATAAATTTATGAATCAAGTCAAAGGATGTAGTGATGTTTATTTCAACTTAGCAGAATAGATTTCAGGGTTCAGTCTGTAAGGTTATCATTATTTCCTTCAGCTGTGACTATAACGTTATTGCGGTTTTGTAAAAGGAAAGCAGTCTCAGACTCTGCATACAGAATAATTTCCCTCCGTATATAGGTTCCAGGATTGCATTAGAAATGAGAGGGAGGCGGGGATGGAATAGACCCACCGACCCGGCCCTAACAAACATGTCGTAATAGCAATCGACTGATTAGAGGCGTTTCCTTTAGAGTCTGAGTGCATCTGCCTGATGAGTAAGGAACCAACAGTCTGCATACAAATAATAGCAGATCTGTATTGCACGCACAACTCTTGTTCTGGAACAAGGCTAAAATTCAGAACTTTCCACCACAGTTTACAGCCAGTGAACACGAAAAATAATTTTTTTAATGAAGAAGAATATTTGTTCTGATTGGAGGGACTTTGTTGGGAAAAGGCGAGCATTGAAAAAAATGAAACCAAAACGTTTATACGTTCATTATACCCAGCATAGACTATGTGTAGAAATTTCACCTCAAGCGCCAAACACAGTCTCTGTTATGAAACTGCTATGCTGTGACTGCTTGTCTCTGATGGTGATATTCTTCTTCTTAACATTCACTGACTGACCTCCCATGACAGTTCTGGCTGGTCGTCCAATTCTGTCCACTTAAGTTTTAAGTGCACTTTTGTTTTACAGGTCTGGCTTATTTGTATGCAGACTGTTGGTACCTCACCTCAGGCAGATGCACTCAGACTTCAAAGAAAACACCCCTAATTAGTCAACTTTTATGACATTCTTACTGGGAAGGCAGAGGGCCTAACACCCCCCCCCCCCCCCCTTCCGCCCCCAATGGCATCCTAGAACCCACATGGGGAGGAACTGCTATACTATTACTGCTTGTCTCTAAAGATGATATAAAACTAGCAATAGAACAAATGGAGATTAATAGACAGCTACAACACTGGTTACTTTTGTGTTATTGTTGCCTGTTTGTGTACTGTTTGATTTATTTCTACTCAAAAAGGCCAACAATGTGCGAGGCATTGTACTTGTTGAGAAGACCATCACCACATCTCAGTATTATTACGATGTTCAAAAGTTTTGTGTCAGCGACCTTGGACTTAGTGTGGTTCCTATTGCTGACCACAAGGAGGCTGCAGATTTCCTGATACAGATGGTAATACATGCTTTTTTTTTTACACCTCTGTGAAGAGTTGATTTAAGACCTGACGTCACAGTTACTTGCACATTGCCACAGGTGCTGTATCCTCAACTTTAGCAGACAGCACATCATTCTGTTTCTGGTGATGCCAGTAACAGTGATTGTATGTCTGTCTTGTCTTTCCTCTGACTGTTGAGTGTCATCCACATCCCATGGTCACTCCCCCTGCATCATTTTTTCCTGACCATGATGATCAGTTTTTACTTCCTCACTGGTCAGTCATTCCCAAAGGGCATTGAACACATCTTGCTTGTCGTGCACCAATTAGTACAGAACTAGTCATTTTTGTCTGCCTCTTGGTTTCCTGGCACGCTGATATTATGCTTGCTACTCTGCATAATATTTTGGTCATATCAAGCGCCACGATGGATTGGAAAAAATTATAGTAGAAGGAATTGTACCGGGAAGGAGGGGCAGGGGCCGACCGACACGAAGACGGGCACAGGATGTAAGTGAGTGTGAAAGTGCATGAGATGGAAGAACTGGCGAGAGAACGAGTTTCTTTCAGGCAGACTGTGATGAGAGCGACATTCTGCAAAGGACCTGCTACATGATGATGATGATGACTCTGCATGGAACATCCATGTCTTCACTTTCTCTAGGCATGCTTTGTGTGTCTGTGTGCAGCTGGTTTTCAAACCAGCAGAAGGCTTCAGTGACTACCATCACCTTTGTTTTCAAACTAGATGTTAGGGTGTCATTTGCCAGGCTTTGTCACACTAAGGGTCATCTATTCACTTTTGTTATGAACCCTATACACTTCGTCTGTCTCTCAACACATAACCATTTGTCCCGATAGTCATCCTGGTGTTTTCATGTTACTGTATTTAATATGTGTCTTCTCCTCCTTCTTTCATACTTAAAAACACATTTATTGTTTTGTATTGTGGTTTACAACCAGTCTGTCATATCTATGACATTTGATCTATCACATACAGTTTTTTGCACCCTTGATTGGTTGCCATTTATGACATGTTGACTCAGTCCCCACATCCAGCACCAAATGTTGCCCAGAACCCACACTGGAAAGTCTAAAAACTGGGACCATGAAAAAAAAATGAGTTTAGGAAGAACAAAATTGTGTCACACAGAAAGAAAGATACACATGTCTATGCGTGTACAGGTTAGGAGCTTTGCTTGTGCACTGTGTTCAGATTATCTTATTTTTTGTTCAGTCCTTAAACTGTCCTTACTGCTAGTTTTACTGGACAACTCATCATCATCATGTAGCAGGTCCTTTTGCAGAACGTCGCTCTTATCACAGTCTGCCTGAAAGAAACTCAGTCTTTCGCCAGTTCTTCTGCCTCATGTACTTTCATACTCAAGGAGTCACTTATATCCTGTGCCCATCTTCGGGTTGGTCGGCCCCTGCCCCTCCTTCCTGGTACCATGCCTTCTGCTATAATTTTTTCCAATCCATTGATGCGCTTGATATGACCAAAATAATTCAGCTTCCACTGGACAACTAGAAGAATTTAAAAAAAAAACAGAATGTAGTTTTTGTGAGTTGATTTATTTTCATTGAATATTGAAATGCAAATTGTCAATCCAAATACCAGGTGCACGTGGAGAGCAGACTGGACAGTAACCCATTTCTGAAACCTGTTCCTGCCCCCTCGGCCGATGTTGCCGTGATGTCAGTACTGACCACCTGTCCAGGTGTGGGGGAAACCAAGGCTCTGGCATTGTTGGACAACTTTCCTAGTGAGTTGTCAGGTTATGTTTATATCAACTCTTTGTATTAAATTTGCTAACACAAGCTTGCTTAAGAAGGGTTGAGTTGAGTCAAGAATTGACTCAGGGCATTCCCATGCATGCTTTGCCCTCATTTTCAGCAGCCAGCATAGAATTCCAATACTGATGGTACCGGTCACAATCTGGTTAAATGTCTGTCTTGCCTGAGTGTAGTGAGCCGACTTAAGAAGAACGTTTGATTAATGTGAACAAATTTTTGGTCCCACAAGGGATTTAATATTATTAGTCCTATGTCAACACAAAAATTGTTTTTTTAACATGAACTAAACTTTTGTCCCTTTGGAATTCAAGTTCACTAAGGTTTATTGTATAAACATCAAAACCTGCAGTTAAGCATCAGTAACCAGACAAGTGAAAGCGCGTAAACAGCTGGTTGGCGCCAGAGGTGAGGTATGGAGTTACTCCTTGTACGCATCACAACAGCCTTAACTTTCTCTCACGCCTGTGATCGATATCACTGTGCCAGTTCAGGGTGTTCTATATGCTCTTTACCCTCGACAGCGCATTACCGGTACTAGCTGTCCAGATCTGTTGTACCAACTATTGATATCCTCAACACATTCAATCGAGTCCCTTCTTTGCATGATTTGTTGGGCAAATCCAGACTTACCGGTGACCCTCACCTGGTTTAGCTGGCCCGTCAAACTCTTGCCTGGCAAGTGGCTGCTGGCTCATGCTGGCAGCCACTAGGAGCCACATGGAGAGACGGATGCCAGACTTGGACTCAAAAGCAGGTCAGCTGTCCTGAAAAGGACATAGCAGGTCCCCAACACAAGAGGTACTACCAGTATCTGACACCCCGACCTCCAGTAAAATGATTAGAGAGTAGTTGAGTTGAGTTGAATCAAGAATTGACATCACAGCACTTGAGGCATTCCCATGCATGCTCCATCCTTATCTTCAGCAGCCAGCGCAGAGTTCCAATACTGATGGTACTGGTCACAATCTGGTTAAAAGTCTGGGCTCTCCTTGCAGAACCGGACGAGGGTTGGACACGGGCTGGACGACTTAGTTCAGTTTAGTGGGAGTTCTCTCCCTTGGCCGCACTCGAAACAGTGAGCGGAAAAGTCCACGAAACAAATGACATACTTACCTATCATCATACGGTTGCGTGTAAGGTTGCGTACGGTTGCGTTTAGGGTTGCGTAGTCATCATACGGTTGCGTGTAGGGTTGCGTAGTTGTCATACGGTTGCCTGAAGGGTTGCGTTGTCATCATACTGTTGCGTGTAGGGCTGCGTAGGGTTTGGGTTAGGGGTAACGTTAGGGTTAGGTTTATGGGTTAGGGTTAGGTGTAGGGTTAGGGTTAGGGGTTATGGGTTGGCTTAGGGGGTAGGGTTATGGGTTAGGGGTAGGGTTAGGGTTAGATGTGAAAATGTTCACGTAGGAGGCCGAAATAGTGGCCGACAATCTGATGCTTGTGGGAGTGGCGCCACTGAAATTCCGCCAAATATGACGCCAATAGCGGGCGGCTGGTGCCCAATCGGTGGCGAATTGTCCGTGTCAGTAGCATCCACCGTCCGTCGACTGTTTGAGTGTGTATGTGACTGTGCGCGATTATAGGGAACTACGGCGTCAAAATTGTCACATCTAACGCTAAACCTAACCCTACCCCTAACCCTACCCCTAACCCTTATGGCAACCCTAACGCTACCCCTAATCCTAACCCTAACCCCTAACCCTAATCCTATCCCTACCCTTAACCACGCAAATTAATCAGTCATTAAAGCATACAGATCGGCAAAAAAAAACACAAAAAAAAAAAAACCCCAGATCTGGGGGACACACCCATTGGCAGCCCTGATGTCGACCTCACTGTCTTGTTTGATTCGTGACTTTTTCCGCTACTTGTTTCGAGTGCGGCCAAGGGAGAGAACTCCCACTAAACTGAACTAAGTCGTCCAGCCCGCGTCCAACCCTCGTCCGGATCTGCAAGGAGAGCCAAAGTCTGTCTTGCCTGATTAGAGAAATGATGTCTTCTTCTTATTCTTTGCGTTCGGTTTCGTATGCTCAGATCAGACCATCAGGTGGGTTGCCTCTATAAACTCGCATGTCAGCTGCAGGTCCTACATGGTTCCCCCATAGCTTGCTCTGCGCACTTTGCTCTTGAGGCCAGGTGTCTTTTCGAAGTTGCAGGTAGAGTGGGCAGGTCTGTAGAATGTGCTGAGGTGTTTGTGGTCCTGCACAATCTTTATTTTATGCATGTGGTAGTTGAGCCTGCAGTGTCCTGTTCGTAGACGGAAAATTGTTGTATGTTGCTTTCTGTTGAGTCTGCTGATGGGGTCTTGTGGATGTTTACTGTTAGTTTGTTCTCTCCACAATCCTTGGTATTTTCCTTTGATAAGTGTTTTGATTTCTGGTAATGACAATGAATGGGCGTGTTGAGAAATGAGGTGTAAACTGACAGTGTATTTTAAACAAGTTATGAAAAGGAATGAACTCAGGAACTTGGACACGACTTGCAAGATTGGTGAGAAAAAAACCATGAAAGGATTTAGATGCAGATGAGAACTGGAACTAGACGGCTTCACACTATCACAGTGGTGAATAACAAATGATTTTTGTTATGGGAAAAGAGGAAAAGGAACTCAAATACTTTTCTGGTGGCTTGACAATATGAACAGAACAAAGAAACTGACCTAATTTATTATGAGATGGGAACACATTGCTGCCTATCCCTATTCACACAAGACATGATGTTGATTAAAATATCAAATGTCAAAGATTCGGTGTGGATTCTAGGACTCCATTTTGGAAATTTAAAAAATACACCCACTGTCTCCTAGTAAGCTGTTGTAGGAGTTGACTGTTTCCTTCAAAGTCAGAGTGCATCTGCCTGAGAGTCAAGGAACCAACAGTCTGCATTAAAATAAGGCAGACCTGTAAAAACGGACGTGTAGGCACAACCCGAGTTCTGGATCAAGACCAGAGTCCAGGAGTGAGTCCAGAACTTCTAAACCAGACACCTAAAGAATGAATGAATTTCTACCCCACCAGGACATCACACAAGCGATAAACACCCGATGACACAAAATGAGGGATCACCGTGGAGAGGTCCCAGAAACCACGTTCAGACAATTGGCCATATTTATGGCCTGCCTATATTGCGGCCCCTGGCAAAAGCCAGAGTGGAGCTTCAAATAACAAAAAAATTACGTCCTAAAAAGGATGTAAGGATTTTGAGTACATATTACATACACCTAAAGAAGCAGCAGGAGGTTGATTATAATATTTCTGTGTTTTCCTGTGTTTTCCAGGTCTTGAATGCTTGTCTAAAGCTACCTTAGAAGTAAGTTGTTTTCTTTATAGGATCAAATTGTATATTGTTTATATTTTTACTTCTTGTGATATTGCGGTGGTAGTTTGCTTGTCCTTTTTTTTTTTTAAACCGTGTGAGCTATTTTCCTTTCTTGATATGTAGCTATAACAGAGGAATATCTTGTATGATAGAATCACTAATGTGGAGCTTTGAGAGAGACCTCCCTTGATAGTAGATATCTAGGTAAATATACCTTGATAAAACAGAGGGAATAAGTGGTATGATAGAATCATTAATGTGGAGCTTAAGGAGAGAGACATCCCTTGATAGTATATATCTAGGTAAATATACCTTGATTTAACAGAGGGAATAAGTGGTATGATAGAATCACTAATGTAGAGCTTTGAGAGAGAGACCTCCCTTGATATGTAGCTATAACAGAGAAAAAAAGTGGTATGACAGAATCACTGTGGAGCTTTGAGAGAGAGACCTCCCTTGATATGTAGCTATAACAGAGAAAAAAAGTGGTATGATAGATCGCTAATGTAGAGCTTTGAGAGAGAGACCTCCCTTGATATGTAGCTAAAACAGAGGAATAAGTGGTATGATAGAATCACTAATGTGCAGCTTTGAGAGAAAGACCTCCCTTGATATGTAGCTAAAACAGAGGAATACGTGGTATGATAGAATCACTAATGTGCCGCTTTGAAAGAGAGCTCCCCTTGATATGTTGCTATAACAAAGGAATAAGTGGTATGATAGAATTACTAATGTGGAGCTTTGAGAGAGAGACCTCCCTTGATATGTAGCTAAAACAGAGGAATACGTGGTATGATAGAATTACTAATGTGGAGCTTTGAGAGAGAGACCTCCCTTGAAATGTAGTTATAACAGAGGAATAAGTGGTATGATAGAATCACTAATGTGGAGCTTTGAGAGAAAGACCTCCCTTTATATGTAGCTATAACAAAGGAATACGTGGTATGATAGAATTACTAATGTGGAGCTTAAGGAGAGAGACATCCCTTGATAGTATATATCTAGGTAAATATACCTTGATAAAACAGAGGGAATAAGTGGTATGATAGAATCATTAATGTGGAGCTTTGAGAGAGACCTCCCTTGATAGTAGATATCTAGGTAAATATACCTTGATAAAACAGAGGGAATAAGTGGTATGATAGAATCATTAATGTGGAGCTTAAGGAGAGAGACATCCCTTGATAGTATATATCTAGGTAAATATACCTTGATTTAACAGAGGGAATAAGTGGTATGATAGAATCACTAATGTAGAGCTTTGAGAGAGAGACCTCCCTTGATATGTAGCTATAACAGAGAAATACGTGGTATGATAGAATCACTGTGGAGCTTTGAGAGAGAGACCTCCCTTGATATGTAGCTATAACAGAGAAAAAAAGTGGTATGATAGATCGCTAATGTAGAGCTTTGAGAGAGAGACCTCCCTTGATATGTAGCTAAAACAGAGGGAATAAGTGGTATGATAGAATCACTAATGTGGAGCTTTGAGAGAGAGACCTCCCTTGAAATGTAGTTATAACAGAGGAATAAGTGGTATGATAGAATCACTAATGTAGAGCTTTGAGAGAGAGACCTCCATTGATGTGTAGCTATAACAGAGGGTATTAACTGACATGATAAAATTCCTAATGTGGAGCTTTGAGAGAGAACGAAACAAGCTCCAGTGAATCGTTAGTTGAGGGACAAGTTAATGATGTTGGATAGCACAAACGCTGGTCAAAACAAACTTGAGGATAATATATCTAGAATGTCATTTCACTGTAATCAACAGTGTCATAGAAATAAAGCCAGTCCAAGAAGCACACGTTGAAAGTGAAAAAAGATGGAGAGCACATGGGGTGAGCTGCATGTGATAGAAACAGTGAGGAGGAACAGCTTAAGGTTAGTCCACATGTAGAGCTGTGTGTGATAGAAACATTGAGGAGGAACAGCTTAAGGTTAGCCACATGTAGAGCTCTGTGTGATAGAAACAGTGAGGAGGAACAGCTTAAGGTTAGCCACATGTAGAGCTGTGTGTGATAGAAACAGTGAGGAGGAACAGCTTAAGGTTAGCCACATGTAGAGCTGTGTGTGATAGAAACAGTGAGGAGGAACAGCTTAAGGTTAGCCACATGTAGAGCTGTGTGTGATAGAAACAGTGAGGAGGAACAGCTTAAGGTTAGCCACATGTAGAGCTCTGTGTGATAGAAACAGTGAGGAGGAACAGCTTAAGGTTAGCCACATGTAGAGCTGTGTGTGATAGAAATAGTGAGGTGGAACAGCTTAAGGTTAGCCACATGTAGAGCTGTGTGTGATAGAAACAGTGAGAAGGAACAGCTTAAGGTTAGCCACATGTAGAGCTGTGTGTGATAGAAACAGTGAGGAGGAACAGCTTAAGGTTAGCCACATGTAGAGCTGTGTGTGATAGAAACAGTGAGGAGGAACAGCTTAAGGTTAGCCACATGTAGAGCTGTGTGTGATAGAAACAGTGAGGAGGAACAGCTTAAGGTTAGCCACATGTAGAGCTCTGTGTGATAGAAACAGTGAGGAGGAACAGCTTAAGGTTAGCCACATGTACTTCATTGCAGGGGATAAAGAGGAAAAAAAGAATATATGCAGCTAACATAGCTGAATGACCTTACCAGTTTTAATAGAATGGATCAGCCAACTGATCGGAGGAGAATCACATCTCGTCACTACTTTTTTTACCCTGTCTTTATTGCAGTTTTCCAAAAATATTCCCAGATTACACAAAAAAACATCATCCTGTTTAACCAGCATCGCCAAAGGGGGAGTAAAAGTAAAGATCCGTTTTCACGCCTTAGGTGCATCAGGCATATGGAAAGAGCACCCCATATTTCTACAGACCAATCAGCACTAAGTGGGTAATGTGGTCAGCATTATGCCGGCCATCTTTACTTCCCCAGGACAGCCATCCTGTTACCCCTTTTAGGCTGGGTCGACTTGCGACGCCCCATACCATGATAAAAATCCACGCAGCCAGCAGTTGATTTTGATCGTGGTACGTTGTAATTACGAGTCGGACTCGCAACACCTTAGCCACCAAAGGGGGAGCTTTTGGTTATAATCTGACTATGGTATTTGCTCTATATAAAATGGCTTAACATTGTTCACCAGCAAGAAGCCCTGAAAAGGACTCGTGTAGTGTTGATGTGATCAGGGAAGACAGACCAAAATACTGTCCCAACTGATGATGAGGCCGTGTACCGGCCAGCCAATGAGCAACCCGGTCGCTGATGTGTGTATTACAGTTTTCGTGATTATACATGTTTATTGTGCAGTTTGGTGGCACTGTTGTTCGGTACTAGTAGCTTGTCAGTTGATCTGCTGGTCTTGTGTTTGAAACCGTTTCAAAGTGAGAGCATTTAAAAACATTGGACTGGGCTTCCAGGTCAGCCCCCGTCTAAAACAGGTACCCGGAAATGTTTTTAAAAATAAAGGCAGCTTTTGTGATACACCATCATTAAATAGCCTTGGCCTGTTAACAAATATGGTTAGCACCATGAACCGAGAACAAATAAACATGGAAAGCAGTTTTTTATGTACAAAAATTTTTGGGATATCTGATTACCTGTTTTGTTTTGCTGCATCTGCGAAAAAAAATTTTTTTAAGTGTTCATTGGCTGTCAACTCCTGCAGAGAGTTGTGGTTGTTTGTCCACTTCTAGAGTTTGGTCTTGTTTAAGAACTTGAGTTTTATTTCGGCACACATCCGTTTTAAAGATCTGGCTTATTTGTATGCAAAAAGTTGGTTCCTTGACTTCCAGGCTGATGCAGAACTTTCCGCCGGAGTTAACAGCCAGTGAGGGCAGAGTGCACAGAGAAGAAGAGGAATCTATAGACCAGTGGTCTCTAAGCTCTATCATGTGGAGCCCCCTTAAATATATGGCAAGACCCCCCTGCCCCCCATCCCACATAACAGAATGTGATTCAGAAGAGGTGGACAAAAAGAAACAAAGAAACATCACATACTGTTAACAAGAACTTGGAGAAAAACATGCACATAAGACAAAGTGTAATATAAAAGAAACAATCACCTACAAATTGGTAATATATGTCCAAATATCATCAGGTTGACTCTTACGACATGCTTGTTGTGGAGGCAGTGGGTCTATTTTTGTTTCCCCCACAAAGGGGCCTCAAAACCCACATAGGGAATTGCTGCTTGTATTTACCACCTTTGCAGTGTAGGCAGGTGGGTCTTTGGGCCTGAAGATTTAGGGTCACATGGTCAGTGCTGTCACCACAGACTGCAGATGAAGATTTTATTTGTTGGCTCTGACATTAACACAAATTCACAATGTTACCGAGGATTCTTTCACATGAGAGCCCAGTGTTTTTACCCATCCAGCCAGCCATCCCCCCCCCGATTTTGCCACTGGTGTGAAAAGGGTTAGCTAGTTGCGTATCCTTTACAGGACGTTGCAGAACCAACCCCAGCATTTTTTGGTTGTTGTGGGTTTTCTTGGCAAGTTTACGTCCAGTAGTTTGCCATTGCTTTCTGGACGGTCAGTTTCTCGATACCACTGTCGAAACCACCGCAAGGCGTAGGCCTGCAGCTGGGATGGAACCCGGCACCCCGGCTTTACGAAGCGCGTTCGCAAAGACCAAGCCACAGACGCCGACTGTGAAAAGGGTACTGCATGCAATTTGTTCTTTCATTTGACTGCAATAGCCTGTTGATTACTTCCTTTAACTTCACAGGAACTGGCGGCTGTCGTAGGAAAAGCTAGCGCAGGGAAACTGTATGACTTTTTCCACAGAGTAACTTGATTTGTCTCTCACAGTAAATAAACATCATATACTTACATAGTGGTGTGATACTGTGTCCATGTTCATAGTTTCTGATGTTTACAAAAGTGTTGTATGTTGAATTAGGAATTGACATAATAGCACTCATGACACTCCCATCCCCATCCAGCAGCAAAGGAACAGTTCCAATTCCAATGGTAACAGTAACTGTTTGACTGTAATATCCATCTTGCCTTTCCCTTGAGTGTTGAGCATCGGCCAGATTCCCTGGTAACTCCTCGCAGCGCCATTCTTCTCAGACCATAATGAGCTATTTGCGCTCCCGCACTGTTCACTCGCTCCCAGAGGGCCCTCACAACATCTAGCTTGTCATACATCATTTCACCACCAAGTGGTGCAGAATTGGCCAGTCTTATCTGGTTGCTTTTTTCCTAACACACTGGCATGACTTGGAGGGAATTTCCAAAGGATGCTAACTACCCGGGACCTTGGAAGTGATGCTTGCCACTCTGCACAGAGCATACCTGTCTCCACCTTTCTCATGCTCTGTGAGTCAGTTACAATCACGGCATGTGTGTACAGCTTATTTCCAAGCCAGCGGAATGCAGCAGTGACTGCCTCCACCTCTATTCTCAAACTAGACGTGATATCAAATGCCAGGCTTTGTTGCACTAAGCGACGTTCATTCACTTTTGCTCTGAACCCCTCTGCACTTCGTCTGCCCCTCAACACAGAGCCATCTGTATAGATAATCACATCACTTGGGCGGGAATTTTTGTGAATCATCTGTTGAACTTCTGATTCTGTACTCAGCTGGCCAGTCCCTGCACTCACGACCCAAAGTGATAAGAACCCTACACAAGTCTGAACCCTGCTCTGACAATTTGACTCACTCCTCACCTCGCACAAATTTATCAAGCCTGTACACGTCTGATTGTGTTTTCAGTTTGCGCCATCTAAGACTTTCCTCTTTTCAGTCTGTGACCCTTAGCTCTACTTAGGGAATTATGCAGGAGGTGCTTCTTGTCTGCAGCTACTCTGAGATATATTACTTTGCTTGCAGAACATTGATCATTTTTGCAATAGAAGGCAGTGCAAGCATATATCGCATGCAGACTGCTGGGGTATCTCTTGATATGGAATACAAAATTGAAACTAAAAGTCCTTTTTTATTTTTATACTCTTTTGGTTTGAGCATATGATGCTGTTCACTTTTTTTAACAGACCACTTTTCACATACTAAGTTTTTCTGCGTATAAGACGACCCCAGGTATCCTGAAATAAGACAGCCACTATTTTTTGAGCCCATAATTAGGAAGTAAATATTTTTAACAAATTATGTGTATAAGACGACCTTGCCAATTGTAAGCTTACAAATGTGGGAAAACATATGGTCTTATACAAGAAAAAAATACGGTAAGCATTGACGTAGTCAACAACATTGTTGTTTTCCCACTTTACAGAATGCATTTTCTGTTAGTCCGTTCAACCTTTTGCGCAATTAACATAGTATAGTTTGAATTATCAATTAACTATGTGGCTTTACAGACGGATTAAAACACCTGAGAAGATTTAAAAAACAAAGACATCCTTCTTCTTCTTTGCGTTTCCCTGCATTAAACTCTTGCAGAAAGTGTTGGGTGTTCATCCACTTATGGATTTTAGTCTTGTTTCAGAACCTGAGTGTTGCACATGAAGACCACAATGTTAGTAAGATTATCTACAAATCTGTAGTAAAATTTAAAAATAAATCTAACATTTTAATGACACAATGTTAGTAACATTATCTAAATATTCATAGTGAAATTCAAAAATAAATCCTTTATTTTAATAACACAATGTTAGTAAGATTATATAAATATTCATATTACAGTTTATATCATAATTACAACCCAAATTAAAGCAATATTCTAAACACTACAAGCTATATATTTGTCTTTGGTAAAAAGTTGTACAATGAATAAAACTACAAATATATCATCTGAGAACTAGGCGATCACTGTATATCCCAATTATAACCTTGAGGGTTGAACAGGATATGTTTGAAACAAATTAAGGCTACATACCAGTTGATTTATCACACAATTGCTATGAGCTGAGGTTCCCCAGCTGTCTATACCTGTGTATTAACTAACAATGCATTAAAAAGCAAATGCCTGAGGAAACCGAAAAACATTAAATGGGATCAAAGACATGGAAATAAGAGATATGTTTGAACATCCGCGTATGTCATTGGTTATAAACAGGGCCTTTTCACTCTAGAAAAATAGGTGACTGTACTTACCTAAAGTGTCTAAAAGGGTGCCGGTACTCACCACAGTATCTAATAATGAAGCCTAAAAAGGGTGCTGGACTGCGTACCGTTGCCTTACCGCCAGAAAAAACATAGCCGCTGTTTCACAACAAAGAAGATAACAATAAATGGGGCATACACCGAGAAGCGGTTAGAGAATCACCAAACAGGAGATGAAATTAATACTTGCAGACTGATGAACGGTAGACACCCAAAGTAAACCCCAAGAGGAACATTGATAACAGTACAAAGGGTTGGACAGGATTCCATCCATGGCATAGACAAGAGAGGATACAACAGGATGGGTGAAGGCCAATGAGGAAGTTCCTCCTCTGTACAGCACAAAGCCTGGTAGCACTGTAAAGACCATCAGTTTCCCCATGAAGCATGATCCCTCACTCGTCCGGCCTTGTTTACTCAAAAGACCATGTAGCACCAGTAAGTCAGGAACAAAACATGCCGCGGAAGCTTTCGTATAAGCAGAGTTGTGCTCTGTCTGGCCTTTTGTCGGAGCATGATCACCAAGTGCTAGGGTTATGTATTTCCTTGATGGACGGTGTGTGCATTTATATATATATGTTTGACTGGCACCTTTCCGTCTTTCCAGACGAATATTTTATTGTGCTATGAGGAGGCATGGGGACTCACAGCCTATGATGGCGAGTGTGACTAGCAAGACCCACTCCCGCGTTAAAAACAAACATTTTACTGTTTCTTCTCATACGCTCAGCTCTCATCCTGTCTGCAATAATTTCTTCCTTCACTTTCATTCCTTTTCTGATGTGCCACACAACACTGTTTATAGCATTTTTAATCTTAATTATTGGGGACCGACAGCACACAGAATGAGAAACGCTGCAGAGAAGGCCCCGCTAGCAACAGACGCTGCTCGCGGACCTGCAGCATTGCATCATGGGAACGCTTGGAAGCCAACGAACAAAGTGGCAGCAGTCATGGCGAACCTCAGCGACGACGAGAAGTTTGAAGTAGGTGTTTCGCCTTCTCTTTCTTCACAAAACACACACCCGGCTGGCTATAATAATAATATACAACCTTTCTTTTATATCAAACGAAATGTGAGAACGAAAACGCATGTGCGTTTGCTAATCGTAAGTAAACAAACAAGACAAACCCCCACGCCGGGCGTTCGTGTGTAGAGTTCAAGTTTTGTAACAGGCGTCGAGCAAGCGTTTGATTTGTTTCCAGTGACCCGTTCTCCTTGCCCCGGTTGTTATAACAAACGCGTGATCTCTAGCGTCGAAAAGTAAACTAGATCAACAAGCTCATACCTAACGTGATTGCTGGGTAAGGAAGGTACACTGGACAGCCGGCGAACCCGTACCATCGTAGATCCAGCCGGCTTGTGTGTGTGTTGTATCTCTCTGCTCTATCATTTATTCATTACTGTAATGATTACATTTATTTGATTTTTATGAACACTGTAAGAAGTAATATGGTAGCGTAGCTAACTCGCATTACATTCCTGATTCCACTTTCCTTCAACAGACGTCTCTGGTGTCTAGTTTAATATTATTTTTGATTATTCAAAACTAAGTGTAGTGAGTCTGTTTGCTTAACTGTTAACTGTATTTTACTTAGTACTATTTATTAGTAATAGTAATAATACTGTAACGTAACAACAGTAATGAAATGGCCTGTACTGTAAGTGTTGTAGTTTCTATATCTAAACTTAAAACTGAACGGCAGAGAAACGACGTTCAGAACAGAACATTTTAATTTTGGCTAGCCTCTGAATAACGGTCCCAAATTATCGAGGCCGAAAATATACCCTTACAGAGCCTCAGTTGCGTGTCAATTGCACACTTCTGGGGACTATATCGCCACCGCTGAATTGCGAACTTGTGGTGTCTATACCGCCACTGCCGAGAATATCCCCCATGCCGCGCGAGCGGCGTTAATTGGGGCTAAACTAGATGGCTGGGACTCACGCAAATAAAATAAAGGAAGCTGCAGCAGGAGATGCGGTAGCTGCTGCTGGTGAGTCCCAGCCATCTAGTTTAGCCCTAATCCACTCCGCATGAGCATGGGATACTCTCGGCGGTGGCGGAAGTGCGCAATTTAAGTCATCGGAAGTTCGCAATTGACACGTGACTGAGGCCCTGATAGGCTATATTTTCGGCCCCGATAATTTAGGACCGTTATTCGGAGGATAGCCTTAATTTTTTTATTGTTCACATTTAGTAGTCATTACTGCCCTAAAAAGAGGGAGAACAATGGTACTTACCGTTTTTTGATAGTCTCAATGGTGATAAGATAGTTATAGCCATTTCTGGCTATCCTCCGAACAACAGCCACACATTATGGCAGCAAAAAACATACCCTGACAGGGCCTCAGTCACATGTAAATTGCGAACTTCCAGGCGACTTAAATTGCAGACCGCCAACTACACCCCTGCCGCCGAGGGTATCTCCTGCGCCGCTATGAGCAGAGCGGGGCTAAACTAGATAGGTAGATGGCTGGGACTCGCGAGTAGCAGCTTCCGCATCTCCTGCAACTTTGCTCATGAGTCCCAGCAATCTAGTTAAGTTCCGCGTGTAGCGGCGCGGGAGATACTTTGGGTGGTGGCGGTATAGCCGGAAGTCTGCAATTTACATGTGACCAAGGCCCTGTTTTTTGCCGCCATAATAAATGGCTGTTATTCGGAGGATACCCCCATTTCTTGTTGAACTGGTAAAACATAGGAAAAGCTTCAAAACATGAACAAGCATCTAAAGTCAGTATTAATTAGTGAATCTTGCTGAAGTTATAACATATTATTAATATTACATTGTGTTGAGTAGGAATTTAACCTTTATTCATACTTCATGTGACAGTGAACGAAGCATCTCCCCCCCCCCCCCCCTTCTCCAATCATATTATAATTCTTTTTACCATTATTACTCTCATTGCAAATGAGTAGTTTAGTTGGTAGTGTTTAATATTGGTAGTCCAAGCTTTGCTTTTTTTTTTAAATTTCACCCCACCCAGTAGCCTCCAAAATTTAATGGGGAATTCCCGTGAAAGTCCCATAGTATACAGTATAGACGGGCTATCCTCTGAAAAACGGCCACAAAAACACCCTAACAGGGCCTCAGTCACATGTAAATTGCAGACTTCCTGCGACTTAAATTGCGCACTTCTGGCAACTACCGCCACCGCCGAGAGTTATCTTTCAGCGGCGTGGATTGGGGCTAAACTAGATGGCTGGGACTCACGAGCAGCATCTCCTGCAGCTTTGCTCGTGAGTCCCAGCCATCTAGTTTAGCCCCAATCCGCGTAGCGGCGTGGGAGATGCTCTCACCGGTGACGGCAGTCACCGGAAGTCCGCAGTTTACATGTGACTGCTTTTGGCCGCCATGATATGTGGCCGTTATTTGGAGGATAGCCGTATAGGTGTGTTAGTTTTAGTTGTTGTTCATTTGACAAGAATGAACGTAAGTAAACACTGAAAATGACGAAGCAATAAATGCTGACAACAGGCAACACATTCACCATAAGTTAGTTGCACAGTCATTAACACAAAAGAAACTTGCAGACTTTCCTGTGAAAGACAGTTTGTCATCAAGGTGCACACACTTTCTCACACATTGCATGAAGGCCTAATAAAGTCATAACACCCTTAGGATATGGGACTTCCCAGAGAATCGCTACAAAATCTTGGAGCCCTAGAGATGGGGTGAAAGAAAAGAACCCTTTTTTTTTTCTGGACCAAAAAGGTGGTCACCACCACAAAGATTATATTGCAGCAATGTTTTTAAAAAAAATAGATGCCGAAAAGTTGTTAGTACTACGAACAGTTGCATAAAGTAAATAAGTAAATGTCACTTTTTCACGCTTTAGGGCATATAGGGCTAGACCGATATTTTTATAGACCAATCGGCACAAGATGGGTGATGTAGTCAGAATCACGCCGGCCGCCTCTACTTCCCGAGACTTCACCCGGTACCCACTCGAGGCTGGGTCCACCTGGGAGGGACCAATGCATATCGCCAGAACGAAATCCTGGGTACATTATGACATGAAAATTAACAGTAAGTTGGGAAACTGGCAATAAAGCATTGCAGCTAAACGTCATATTTTGGTTTGCAACTTGTATGTGTGTCACAAAAGTAATTCATCCTGTTCCTCTGCGTGATATGCAAAAGACAGCAGACTGCACAGGTGTGTAAAATGGATGCATACACACAAAACTCAAATCCTGTTGCAAAGTCAGAAATGGGCGACCAGCCGGGACATTCCGTGGGAGTTTATAACCAGTGAATGCAAACAACTCACACAACAGTTTGTTTCATCATTGTTGTGTTGTTGATCTTAGGCTTGTGTGAGTTAATACATGCTTATATCTGATACTTGCAGATTGATTCAATCCTTGAGCAGCGAAAGCGCAAGGGCCTGCTGGAATATCTGGTTCGTTGGAAGGGTTCCGGGGATGACGTGAAAGGTGAAACCTGGGAGCCAGCTAAAAATCTAGTCAACGATTATGCAAAAGCTGTTCAGAGCTTCACAAAAGGTGTAAAGGTAACAGCTGATATTAACCTGTTATGTAAATAAAACAAAATTAGTCAAGTGAAACATTTTTTAAAAACAGGTATGGGGTAGAACATAATTCTTCTAAATGTATGTTAATTGTCCACAATAGCTATTGATCTGATTTTTCAAAAACTGCAGTTAGACTGATTAAAAATTCAGAATGGCTTTCCTCCGAATAACGGTCCTAAATTATCAAGGTCGGAAATATACCTTAACAGGGCCTCAGTCACATGTAAATTGCGGACCTCTTCTGGCGACTACACAGCATGCCGCCAAGAGTATCTGCCGCGCCGCTACGTGCGGAGCGGGGCTAAACTAAATGGCTAGGACTCACGGGCAAATAAAATTAAGGAAGCTGCTGCTCGTGAGTCCCAGTCATCTAGTTTAGCCCGGCTACTCACGGCAGTGACTTTTTAACTCGGCGAAAGCTTTTTTGGGGTATGTGTAGTCGCCAGAAGAGGTCCGCAATTTACATGTGATTAAGGCCCTGTTATGGTATATTTTAGGCCTCAATATTTTGGGACCATTATTTGGAGAATAGCCTTCAGATGATACGTTGACTTTATGTGTTGGATAGTTTATAGCAGTGAAAATGAGACTCGGTCCTTGTCTATTTTCCTAAACTGTCAGTTTTCTTCCACCTTTAGTGAGCAATCATTTGATTTTCAAACCAGCTGTTGGGGCGATAATTTCAATAGCAGGCGTGAGTAAAAGTTAAGGGGTTTGTAGTGTACCCCATCTGGGTACTCCTCACGTGAGTTCTGGGGCTCCATTTTGTCGGTAAAAGAATAGAAGCACTGTCTCCCCAACAAGCATGTGGTAAAAAGTGACTAATTCGGGGCGTCTGTCTTGAGGCAAGGAGACAACAGTCTGCATACAAGTAAACCAGATCTGTAAAATGTGTGTGCACGTAACACTTAAGTTCTGCAACAAGACCTAAGTCCTTGTTGTCAGCTCACTTTGGTTTTGTTCAAGAACTTGAGTTTTTCATGTTCGTCCATTTACAAGTCTGACTTGTTTGTGTGCAGACTGTTTGTTCCTTGCCTCTCGATCAGATGCACTCCAATTATGAAGGGAACACCCAGAATTAGTTGCCTTATACAGCATGCTTGTTGGGGGGGGGGGGTCTGTTTTGACCTCAAAATGGACCCTTAGAACCCATGTGGGGAATACCCAGTCAGCTTAGCCTCATGACATTGACCAGACAAGAACACAGACCTGTTCTGAGATTTTAATAATCACCTCAGATGACAAACCATAACTGCTTATGTCACGTGATGATGATGGTAGTCACAGCAAGAGGGTAGACTTCAGTCTACATCAGTTGTTTTCAGGGAAACAACGCTGTGTTCCAGAGATATCTGTGTGTGTCAGCTGTGATTATACACATGGATAATAATTTTAACACTTTATAATCCATTCTCAGGCTCAGAAGGCAAAAAGATCCTCATCCAGATCCAGCAGAGCATCACGATCCAGATCCAGGTCGTCATCTCGGAGTCGTAAGTCGGGTCGGGTGAAAGAGGAGGCCAGGTCTCAGGTGCAAGTGGAAGAGCGGCAGAAAGCAGCAGTAGCTGAAGCAGAGAGCTCACAGCCAACTCGGAGTTCCAGAAGCCGAGCTAGGGTTACCGCACCTCAGACCACCACAAACTCGCTGGCAACAGCTCAAGTCGCTAGCAAGACAGAGTTACATGTGAGTGCTTCAGTCTTCTAAATCCTTTTTAGTTCTCTCCCAAAGCTCTACATTAGTTATTCTATCATACCATTTAATTCCCTCTATTCTGCGCAGGCACCAGTTAATGAATGTCTGTATTTTATTAGTAATTGCCTTAGTTCTCCATGTTTTTGCCCCATGCAAAAGTACTGATTTGACATTAGAATTAAAAATGTTAAGTTTAGTATTTCTTTTAATTTCTTTTGACCTCCACAAATTCCCTAGTGCTATGAAAGCTCTTGCCTTTTGTATTCTTATTTTGATATCTCTATCAGTTCCTCCATCTTTATCTACATTACTGCCCAAATGGTGTACGACTCCACGTCTTGGAGTGGGGTATCATTCTTGTCGCTTAGTTACAAACAATAAATAATTCTTGTTTTACATAGAACAATTTCAGCATATGCTTGTTTTTTTGGCTGTTGTCATTTAATTAGTTTTCACTGTATTTTTCTAGCCATATACGCCTAAAGGCATGGAAAAGGATCCTTTTTTTTTTTTTTTTTTACTTTACTTACTGTATTTTTGTTTAACCAACTGCAGCACAGACATCCAGAAAACAAATATGATTTATGGACACCTTTACAACCTCTCTCGAGTTCTTTGGCATCAAGACAGGCACATGGGAGGCTGTTGTCCAGGATATATCCAGGGATGATTTCATCTCAAATACAGCATCCAGCAAGATTGCATTGGCAAAGTAACAAGAAAAAATAAGAAAGTTCCAGTTCTGCAAATTCCTTCTTTAGTGCATCTACTATCTGCTGACAAAGCTGTCTGAAGAACCTCACGGGATTACATTGCTTCATCAGTCATATTTGTATTCATAATCGCAGTTCATTCTGGCTGGTATTTTTGTGTGTGGATGGTTCTACTTAACTGTTTAGGGTATACCTAGCCATAGCTGTAAGAAGGACCAGTTCATCTGCTCTTAGTTGGTGCATGGGGCTGGAGAGCTGGCCAAGGAAAGGTATACTTTCAAGCCTGTCGTGAGGAGAGTGACGCTCTGTATAGGACTTGCTGATTGATGATGACGCTTAGGTTGCTTGCAACTATAGAGGTGCCCTAGTGTAACTGTTTTGTACAGCTGGACAATGCTTCTGGGATTTGACTCTCATCCTTAAGGTGTTAATCAGACAACAATCCTGGATGGGAGCACTTACCACCACAACCTTCAAGGTTGAAGTAGAAGTGTTTCACGGATGTGACGGAAAGTGACATGACATTCTGTCGGCAACACAAAGGGGCCAGTTAAAATGTTTTGTTTTGGGAAGTCTCTTTGTTTTATATGGGCTGTGTTAGTGAACATGGTATACACTCCTTTATGTACCAGGGTTCCAATTCCACAAAGGGCAGTTTAGAAAAAGACCTGTTTCGTGGCTTCCAGAAAATCATTGCACTGGAAGAAATTCAGATCTAACCACAAGAAATTCCTGAAATCAGCAGTGGATATCCACTGTGTCCGATCTTCATTGTAGACAGCATTAATGTTCTTTTTGTTGCTTTCTTTTATGTTTCTGCTTCTAGTTGGTTGTGAATTGACGCATGACAAACTAGATATAGTTAGTGCCCTTTGGCAGCAAGTGAACAATGCAGAGTCATGAATAGATCTTTATAGTCTGGGGAGAATTGTGCATCTTGGGGTGACCAGGGTATCTAGTCGACACGCTACACTTAGGAAAGACAAGATGGAGCGTATAATCAAATTGCTGCTGGCAGCTTTGTAATTGGAACTCTTCGTTGGCTGCTGAAAATAACAGAGTGCTGAAGGGAATGTCCCGAGTGCTACAATGTCAGTTCTTACTAAACACTCTATTATATGATTTTTTTAACTTGCTCTATTCCAGACACACTCAAACTCAGTCGGTCAAGGAAATCAGTCTGACAACATGAAAACCCAGCAGGAACTCGAAGTACAGCGGGTTCATAATGAACAGCGCCCTGTTCGCGAGGATGACCTTAAGCCACGTAGCGCCATCTGGAAAGTTGCTGACTACGCTGTCATTGTTCTGTTTGTCCTGTCCTTGATAGCAGCACTGTTCTTATTTCTGGAGAAGTTCATTGAGTAAGTTTCCCTTTTTTTTTTTATGCTTGTATATTTAAAAAAAAAAACCCAGTGGGATGTTGATAAAACTAGATGAATTCAAGAATGAATAAATGAGAAATGCCTGGGCAACTGCCAGTATCAGCAGTTAAAAGACAGAGAAGATGGTGCTACAGTGGACATCTTGAGAAGGGGTGAACAGAGAATCACCAAACAGTCACTGAAATGGGACAGTGAGGGGTTTAGGATACGAGAACGTCCAAGAGAAACCCTGAGGTGAACGTTTATGAGAGATGCCAAAGATGCTTGTCTGGATTTTATCCTTTTTGTTGTAGTGATAGCACAGGATAGAAGGAAATGGAGAAACAGACTGTGTTCTGAGGGGCTTCAGGGGTGTTTTTAACTATGTGACGTATAATGGCACACAGGGTTTGTAGCCGACCTTAAAACTGTAATTTAACCTGAACATTGTGGCCCCTACCTTGAACCTTAATTTTCGCCTTAGAAAAGACATACTGACCTTAAAAAGCTTTGAATTTTGACCATCACGATGGGTCAATAGGGATCTTTGGAAGACCTGTTATTTTCGGCTACATTCATTTTAGATGTTTACGGCCGTTTCTGGTATTAGCCAGTTGGTTATCAGCCAATTTCAGCTGAAATGGCTTGTTAAGGGCGGGCTCTGTTGCAGCCCATGGATACACATAGACAAGCGAGCGCATAGGGTGGGAGGTAGCAGCCGCCGCCTTGTGTGCTTTTGTTTCTGGAAGCAAGGATTCATTGGGAGATGTTGGGGCTAAGCAGTGTGACTCAACTGGGTATCCCAGTTCTATTGTTGGCCTGGTTTATCTTTACAGTGTGTTTGCTGATCAATATTGTAATTCCCCCAGAGCTTCCCTCTTCTTTTCTTTTACCCTCCACTCTTCTCCCCCCCCCCCCCCCCCCCCCTTTTTTTTCCGTCTTTTACCTCTTGCTGCACCATAGGGCAATGAATGATCTTAATGTTTTGGCTGTTTACATATTGTCTTCCTTTCTGACTTACTAGAATGGGTCCTTTTGTTCGCTTCCTGTATAGTACTTTTCAGTGTCTCCAATATTTCTATGGTTCTTCTGTCTGGTCTACCTCTGGATGTTTTACCACAATCTGTATAGCATTGATCACTGTGATACCCTGCAGATGCCAATCTGCCATTATATGTCACATGTAGTAGCTCAGTTGTATGCAGACTGTTGGTTCCTTGCCTCCCAGGCAGATGTACTCTGACTGAAACATCCATATTTAGATTTAGTCAGTTTCTATGACATGCGTGTTATGGGGGCATTGGGTCTGCCCCCCCCCCCCCCCCCCCCCCCCCCCCCCCCCCCCCCCGGGGACCCACACGATAGTTCAGTAAATAAATTGATATGCTGCTGTCTATCAATTTCTTGATATCTTCCCAATTGTATCATTGTCTAACACTTCCTTGGCTGCTCTCAGCTGTTCCTATTGTTTAATTAATAGCTAAGCAAAGTTTCTGCTGTATTCCAACAGCCTTGATGAATTCAAGAAACAAGCATTCCCCAACTTTGCCGTACTACAGACCCGCCTGGAGGATGTGCAGCAGAACCTACTGGAGTTAGCTTCTAACGGAGCTGGTAGAATATCAGATGCCTGGCTCTATCTCATCGAACAGGTCAAGGGAAGCGCAGAAGCCAAGGTCGAAACTAGCCAATCCAAGATATGAATTTCCTTGAAAAGAAATGTTTCAGCTGTATCTAAATGCTTGTATGTTGTTGACATATTCCACTGAACACCTTCCATCACAACACAGATGCCATCATAATGTTTCATCTAGTCTGGGGAAAGAATAACATGGTGTTCTCACTTGCTGCCTTATATTTTTATATGAGATGAGAAAACTTGAGCTTCACATTTTCTAGGTTATCGCTTTATGAAATAATCCTCATGTCGGGCAGCAGGTTACTTGAGAACTTTTGGGTATCCTAATGTAACTTATATACGGTTGAATGGGATTCTGGGATTTGGAAATGTTTGATTCTCATCCTTGAGGTGGCAATCCTGCGGAAAGCAATCCTATAGGGGAACAATCATCCGCCTGCCTTTATGAAGTAGTATTGTCATTTCATCATTCCCTCACATTTTCCTTGCTTGTCTTGTGTGTTAATCCGGGTGCCTAGGTTACATCTTAGTTTTCTGAAGCTAGCAGTGGCGTGGCTTCTGTCTCGCCACCATGGTGGGTCTTGCACCTTCCTCCACTCTCACCAAATCCTAGGTGCCATTTAACGCTAGTCCTGTTTTCACATGCACTGTCGATGTCACACACACAGAAATCCAACCACTGTGCGGTTAAATCAAGAGTGAGCAACCTTTATTGATCTTTGGGCCAAATTTAGAATGACCAGCTTGATCGTGAGCCATATAGAAAAACAATTTATTACAAAGATAATGCTCAGATTTCTTCATGGTAGTTTGTTGGATAATTTAAATTATAATCCAACAAACTGAAGCAGCTCTACACATTCCTAAATGTGTTTGTTCAAGCTGGTTATTTGTAGGAATCATATTGAGGGCAGGTCAAGGGGAAAAACCAGATTATATAATTTTATGCCACCCACACAGATCAGTAAAAATAGCCCACCCTGCTGCAGTTTGCCCATCGCTGAGTTAAAATAAAAAATTTTTGTTTTCAACACAACCGTATTTAATTACAGAAAATGGCAAAGAAGTCTTAATCACCTCGTTTTTAGTCTAAGATTTAATATTTCTTTGTCGGCGAGAAACATTTTTTAATGTTTGTTTTTGACATTTGCACAGATATTTATGACAAAAAATCTACCACTTTAGGTTTTAGAAATGTATAATTTGTTTGTCTGAATACGTGGCTGGGCACCTCATTTTAGAATCAGAATGTATGTGTTGTTTCAATTCTTTTCTACTAAAGTCTCCCTGCCAGGGTCACAGTGCCCGTAAGCTGTGCCATATGAATTTCCTCTGCAGTGTGACCAGCCATGTATCTATCGCCGCTAAGAGCGGGATGAAGTAGATATTAGACGCATGGCTGGTGGTTCTTGCATCACTCATTGGGGCAGTATAGTCTGTAAAAGAAATGTGGCATCATTATATTCAGTACATCTCAAGATGTGGAAGAAGGACCTTTTAGTGGTTCTCATATTGAGTAGTACCAGCCTCTCGTGGGTTGTAGAAGAAACCTGGAGCGGTACATTTTTCAAGGTATATTTCACTAACAAAAGCTAGAAGAATGTCGACAGAAAGCCCGAGTGGGTGGCAGCAGATACACACAATATTGGAACCACTGTCTACAGTTGACATCACTTTACAAATAAAACATTTGTACTACAGTATTTGAGAAGTACATCATTTGTTTTTCCATAATTTGTTGCCTTTTTAAGGGCCCTTTAGTGGTTCTCATAGTGAGTAGCCCCTTGTGGGTTGTGAAACAAATCTGGAGTGTGAAAGCTTTTAAAGTAGACTTTTAATTTATAAAAGCTAGTGTGAACAGAAGGGCAGTCAATGAGAGTAGCTACAGGTGCACATCATTACTGTACAGAATAAAACCAATGTTTGAAAAAATAAATCTTTTGTTTGCCATGGATCAAAGCTTTTGTTTTATTTTTGGTCACATTGTGTACAGTAGTTTGGTGGTCGGTTTTCATAAATGTGACGCCACTGTAAGCTGCCATTTTTTACACACACGTTTGACTAGCGATAAGTATTATCTGGTGAATTTTTTTTTTTTTTTTAATTCAGTGTTGTAGATCATCAGTAGTGCTGGTTCAATGTAGACATATTTAGATAACCTAGCATAAGAAGTAGAGACAGCAGCAAAAGAAAACCTCAGAGATCTTTACAGTAACACTAGGAAATTTGTAGCTCAGTATCGCCAGCCGAGTCAGTCATAATTAGTCAAGGAAAGGTACTCACCAACACAAAAGATCTAATGGGTAGAAATTCTTGCCTAGAGTTTGTTTGGGACACAAGACATGTTACACTTCTAGGTACAGGCTTGAGATGTGTAAACAATCTATTAAATATTACCTGTGAAATGAGATGCCAGATAAAAGCTGTTGACTCAATGGTTTGAGACCAAGAGGGAAATGATACTGGGAGCAACAACATGCACCAAATCCATTGAGAAATGGTTTGAACATCTTGCTGGAATGCAGCCACAACAACCAACACAGGTGCAACGCATTTAAGTATCTGATGTGATAGAGGTCACACTAGATAATCGGTTCATCACATTAAAAACCTTTAACATCGACATGGAGTGATAGTAGCTATTGCTGCCTGACAAGGAATGAAGATAGTAGCTTTTGCTGCCCGACAAGGAATGAAGATAGTAGCTATTGCTGCCCGACAAGGAATGAAGATAGTAGCTATTGCTGCCTGACAAGGAATGGATCACAAATTGTTACTGTTACTCACCATGACACTTAACAAGAGTTTTTTTTATCCCCTCTCTGTAAATCTGTCCAGATTTGCTTGAGCTATACAAACCCTTCACTTGTGTATTCATCTCAATGTCCTGTCTAGATTCGCTTGAGCTATACAAACCCTTCACTTGTGTATTCATCTCAATGTCCTGTCTAGATTCGCTTGAGCTATACAAACCCTTCACTTGTGTATTCATCTCAATGTCCTGTCCAGATTTGCTTGAGCTATAAAAACCCTTCACTTGTGTATTTATCTCAATGTCCTGTCTAGATTTGCTTGAGCTATACAAACCCTTCACTTGTGTATTCATCTCAATGTCCTGTCTAGATTTGCTTGAGCTATAAAAACCCTTCACTTGTGTATTCATCTCAATGTCCTGTCTAGATTCGCTTGAGCTATACAAACCCTTCACTTGTGTATTCATCTCAATGTCCTGTCCAGATTTGCTTGAGCTATAAAAACCCTTCACTTGTGTATTCATCTCAATGTGCTCCCCACTGATGCCTAAACAGTTCGTAACTGCCAAGTTTTAATGCCATCACCGACAGTGATTATCAAGTGCAACTGTAGCTGACAAAATATTCCATTAATGTTATTGATTTAAAAAAAAAAATTTTTTTAATTTTCTTCATTGATTAGTACCACTTTCTGGGTGAGGGGTCATTAAACGCATTGAACAATTTCACGATCACTAATTAAGTTCTATAATTTGTTCCTGTGGTAGATAGTTTGTTCCTTTTTAAAAAAAACCAATCTCCTTCATGGTAGGAGAGTGGCACCGTGGAAGAGGTTGGGGCATCACAACATAAGGTTTCTAAAGACGGCAGCGGTACACTATAATAACCAATCTTGACTGGAAAGAGGGCAAAATTTGATGTTTAGAAAATTCTAAATATAGATTGTTTCGGCTATTTGAAATTATACCGTAGAACCCCACTAGGACATCATAAACGCTCATGGACACAAATTGCCACCATCTGGATGAGGATCACCCGTGGAGAGGTACCGGAAACCGTGTTGAACCATATTTGAGGCTGGGCTATATCGCAGCCCCTGGCAAGAGCCAGGGTTGGGCTTCAAAATAATGAAAAATTGCATCCCACAAGGGGATGGCTAGTCAAGACAACCATAGTACATGGCAGGAAAAGATACATTGTGAGAAAGGTATTGCTGTTCTACCATGAGTTACAGGTGTAGCATAGTCTTCATTATTTTTACATAATTACAGTCTCCTTTACACAGTGAGGCTTGGTTAGTTGTTTCTGCCTGTGAGATGATTAGAAGAGCAAAACCAAAACAGGGCTATTCAAATGGCAGACCATTGGTAGTAGTAGTATTAATGACAATCCACAAATTCATCGTTGTGGCCCTTGAGGAAACCTAGTTGAATAGCACTGCTATAAAGGAATATCTTTATTGGCCTTGTTCTGTTAATTGCATATCCTTTACAGGACGTTGCAGAACCAACCCCAGCATTTATTGGCTGCTGTGGTTTTTATAGGCAAGTTTTACGTTCCGTAATTTGCCACTGCTTCTGAACGGTCAGCTCTTGGTACCACTGTTAAAACCAGTGCAAGACAAATTGTCCGCAGCAGGGATTGAACCCGGCATTATGAAACACACTCGCAACGCCTAAGCCACAGATGTTAATTACCCAAATTAAAAAACATTTATTTTGTGGGTAAAGAAATAATACATTGTTCATATAAATTCCTGCTATGAATGTTTTTTAAAAAGAACTTTGTTGTTGTATTTAGCAGTTAAGGGTTAGCTATTAGCACACTGATTTTATAATAATCACCAGAATCTGATTTCTGCATCATAGATAGTTGGTCTGTTTCTGGAAGCTACAGAGATGGGTTTTTTTTTTATATAGATGAATGATAACACAGTAACTACAAAATGCATTGTTTAAAAAAAAAAAAAATTCACGTTATGAAGAGAAAGAACTGAAGTCTATTGTGGCAAAGGGAGATCAAAAGAGAAGCTGCTGGATAGATTTGCATCATGATAGAAACCCTTGTATGTGTATAAAGAAATGGCTGGCACAGTACAAGAAAGTTGGCTGTAGACCAGGACTATGCAGTTCAGTTTACTCAGGGATCAAAATGTTGAAGATGGGGGATCATCAAGGGTCAAAGCGCCAGCATAGAAATGTCACTAGTACAATACGTCTGCCAGTGATCTGTAGATCACTTGCTAGAACACATTTGGCCTATGGGTCGCCAAGGTGAATAGCCCTGCTGAAGACCACCATGATTACAGTGC